TTCCCTGAGTCACCTGCCGCACCCTGCACCCGACCCCCTGCCCTGAACCCCCGCCACACTCCACACCCCTCCTGCACCCCAACCCCCTTCCCTGAGCTGCCTGCCGCACCCTGCATCCGACCCCCTGCCCTGAACCCCCACCACACCCCACACCCCTACTCACTGCCCTGAGCCCCCTGCCGCACCCCTCATCCCTCGTGCACTCCACACCCCAACTCCCTGCCCTGAGCCCCTGCCACACCCCTCCTGCCCACCCTGCGGGCAGGGAGGGGGCAGAGTTGGGGTGGGGATTTCGGGGAAGGGGTTGGAATGGGGGCAGGGCAGGGGTGGGAAGAGGCGGGGCAGGGGCGGGGCTTCATGGAAGGGGTGGAGTGGGGGCGGGGCCGTGGGCAGCGTGGGGGAGGTGTCAGTAATGCGGCCCTCGGGCCAATGTACTAGTCCTCATGTGGCCCTCGTGGTCATTTGAGTTTGAGACCCCTGCTCTAATACAAATTTATGAACATATGGAACTTTAGGAATGGGAAAATGTTAGCAGGCCCAACAAGTTATCTTTAGAAAAAAAATCAACTAACCAAACAAGGTCTTGGTGAGTCAGAGAAAGTCTCCTTGCCATGCTGACGGTGTAGTAAAATTCTGGGTGAGATGTTTATGTTTTTTGCCATGTTTTGCACACACAAAGAAAAAAGTAATTTCATTATTTTGTGCAGATTTACTTTGAAAATCGGAAAGACGAGAGTGGTTGAGAGAGACAGCATTGTGTATCTTCTCAAGGTGAAATGTTTCTGCAGAGTGAATGAGACTCACTGGGAATTCATTCTCCATGAACTTCCCTTCTCCATTATTTTCTACCTGTTCTTTGATACCTATTCTGGGATAATAGAATGCATGGGTGTGCACAAAACAGTTACTAACCTTTCATAACTGTTGTTCTTAGAGATGTGTTGTATGTGTCCATTCCACTCTTGGCGTACGCACCTTGTGCATGGTCACTGGAAATTTTTTCCCTTGGTGGTACCTATCAGGACAGCTGAGATGCCCTCTGCTGCCAGGCTCTGATATAAAGGGCCCAGCTGATCCTGAGCCCTCTGAGTTCCTTCTTTCTGGATAACTCCAATGTAGATGGGTAGGAGGGTGGGTTGTGGAATGGACATGTGCAACACATCTTGAAGAACAACCATTACGAAAGGTTAGTAATAATTTTTTCTTCTTTGGGTGATTGCACATGTTAAGCCTTATCACTTCAGGTGCAACAGATAGTCTAGTATATTTTGAATCAAGGCATCAGACTTGAGACTCCAGTTTGACAAGCCCAGATAGAGAACCACCTCCATTTTGAAAGGTAGGCAACCCTGTTTGAAGTCTTTCTACTACTTAGTAAGACATGAAGAACTTGCTCTGAGCAAACCAGCTCCTTGGAATTTAGCCATGGAGCTTCCAGGCCATTAAATGAAGGCTCTGCAGATTCAGGTGACGCAGCCAACCTTGGTCTTGGGAGATCAAAGCCGGATGCAACAGGAGTGAGATTGGAGTTACCACTGAGAGGTCCGATAGAGTAGAGAACCAATGTTGGCGGGGCCACACTGGGGCTATTAATATAACCTGGGTGTCATCCCTCTTGATCTTTAGTAGCACTCTGTGTCGGAGTGGGATTGGGGAAAAAGTGCAGTAAAGCTTTTTTGTCCCAAGGGTAGTAGGAAGGCATCTGTGACAGAGTCTGGACTGTGGCCTTGCAGGGAGAAGAACTGATGAAATTTTCTTTTGGACATGTTTTCAAATAGGTATACCTGAAGAGTCTTCCCCCCCGCCCCTCATCCCCCGCTGGAAAATGCATATAGGTACATCCAGGCAGAGAGACCACTCCTGATGACTCAAAAATGACCTGCTCAGATGGTCTGATAGCTCGTTTTATGTCCCTGGCAGGTTAGAGGTCTCAAGGTTGATTGAATGGATATACAAAATTCCCACAAGTGAACCACTTCCTGACAAGGGAGGGATGAGTGAGCTCTTCGCTGTCTGAGATAAAATATCACTGCGTTGTTGTCTGTGAAAACAAACAGTCTCCGCCCCCACCCCTTGATATGACGCCCTTAGCTCTCGGCCGTTGATACGAAGAGTGTCCAGATAAGGGCAGCTTGGTGAGTAAACTGAGACCAGCCAAGTGTAGAGGGGCCTGAGGTGCAGCCTTGCATGTTGTACTACATATCTGCATACGACCTTCCCAAGTGCAATCCAGACCAGTAAGGGGCTGTCTCCCCCCTGACCTGCAACCTTAGGTGCCTCACAATGCTTTGCTGCTGTGGCTCCCATCTGGGCCACTCACAAGCAGCGTGACAACATATAGGTAACGCCCTGAGTCACAGGACCCAGTCCTGTGAGGTATTTAGTGCGCTAATCACCTTTGTAGGATTAGGCCCTTGACAAAATTTTGAAAATGATTGCCTCAGTGTACTATTTGTTGTTTATAACCGTGAAGCAGATCAACCGCTATATTATTACTGTTTATATATTGTATTATCATAGAGCTCAGGAGTCCTAGTCATGGACCAGGACCCCATTGTGCTAGGTGCTGAACAAAACACAAATCAAAAGGATAGTCCCTGCCCTAAAGAGCAATCTGACACAAGAGAAAACAGATGAATACAGACTGACAGGGGAACACAAGAAAACAATGAGGCAATATTGGTCAGCATGACAAGCAGTGATATCAGTGCACCAGTAACCTAACCACTGACAAGTCTTTTCGTTTTGTTTTTGTTGGTATCGGTGTCGAGCCTAGCACCTTACCGCCCCTTTGGGGGCAAGGGCGGGGTTGCTGGAGCCTTGCCACTCCAAGTCCGCACGTTTGCCTCTATGCAGGTGGCCAGATGCAGCCTAATGGCCTCTCTCCACGCAATCACCCCCTCTGTCCAGGTAGTGAGTCCTAATGGCCGAAGTCCATGTAATTCGCCCCAAACGTCAGAGCTGTGTGGCCCAATGGCCAGAGTCCATATGACCCCCCTCGCAGGCAGGGTAGTGCGGCTTAGCGGCCGGAGTCCATGTGATTTTGGTGCTGGGCCACTCCCCCTCCAAGGGGGCAGGCGGTTGGGAGGGGTAGGAGGACCCGGGCCCACCCTCTCCTCCGGGTCCTGGGCCCTGTTAGTAGCAAGTTCGGGGATCCGCCCAAAACAAACCAAGCCTCTGTGCAGCTCTAATGCTGTTTTCTTCTAAAGTTTCCCTGGGTCACTTCCTACCATAACCTCTGGATCCTCCATTTCAGGGGGTCCTCTGGTCTGTTCCCCTTCTGTGATGTACTCGGTCTGGGCGTCAGGGCGCATCCCGGCTTGGCTGGCTCCCGGATCCTGGAGCACAGGCTGTCCCTCCTTGGGAGCTGGCAGCGAGCCTCCTTTCCCTCCGGCAGGAACAAAGACTGAACTTGGGGAAGTGCTGATCCCAGGCTAAAGGGATTTCTAGCCTGGGTATGGAAACTTGGTAGACTACTTGTGTGACGTTACACCCCATATTCTTTATGAATATATGCTTATTCGGGGGGAGCGCCCAGGAGCAGGCTTGGGGTCAGGGGGGAAACCGCCCCCCAGCATGAGCTGGCGGAGCAGAGCGGGTTGGGGCCAGGTCGCTCCACTTCCTTCCGCCTGGTGATTGCAGGTCGGGCAAGTGGAGTGATCCAGCCCCAGCCCACTTTGCTCCGCTCCCCTGGCTCCCAGCCTTGGGACTTGGGGGGCAGGAAGGAACCGCCCCCCAGCACTCATTGGTGGCACAGCTGGGAGCCGGCAGAGCGGGCTGGGTCACTCCACTTCCCGCCGCCTGGTGAGTGCAGGGCACACCCGACCCCTGCTGCAGTCCCCTAGTACGTAGCTCAGGGGAAGGGGTGGAGTGGAGGTGGGGCTGGGGCGGAGCAGGGGTGGGGGCTTTGGGGAAGGGGTGGAATGGGGGCAGGGCTGGGGCGGAGCAGGGGTGGGAAGAGGTGGGGCAGGGGCAGCTTTCCTGGCCAGCTCAGCCGGCTGGGGGATCGGGTTGGCCGCTGAAGCAGCACGCAGCTGCGTAGGGCACCTGGTGCCCTACGCAGCTGCGTAGTTTGTGTATGGGTAAGGACGGCCCTGGTTTTTAACATCTGTGGGTTTTTTGCAATGTACATGAAACATAGTATCTTTTATATGTAGGTCAAAAATCTTCAAACCTGAGTACTTTAAGTTAAGCACCTACATCCATGTTTTCAAAGTGGCCGGATTTTTAGAAGTTGAGTACCAACAAATATCAGTTGTACTGCTTTAGTACTGTATCCAAGTGTCACTGTGCCTTAGTGAGTCACAGCTGAGGATGCCAAATTCAGAAAAAATTGCTGAGAAATAAGTCAAACTCACCCCAAACTGGTGGTTTTTCTATCATTAGATTACACCAAGGCAGAAACAAAAGTAAACTTCCATCTTACCACACTGGTTAGCAAAAAATCAAAGATGCAGTCTCCTTAGGCATTACAGCCATTGTCTCAATTTCATCATACATAGCATTCTTCTAATCCCAAGAGATCGACCACATAGCCAGGTCAATATATAACCCAAATCTTACCCAATAATCACACTGATGCCTATCCTTTAGTAACTAAAACTAAAAGTTTAATAATAAAAGGAGAGAGATAATAATGATTAATAGACCATATACATACAAATAATTGCAAAGTCCTTATAATCAGGTTTGTAGCAGTGATGGAATAGACTGCTGGCTTATAAAGTCTCTCTCTCTTTTGGAAGGTTCTCAGCCCATAGTTCAAAATGCTCCTTTTAGTTATAAATCCACAGTCCAGCAAATCAGGGCAGGAAAGGGGCCAAATGGAGATATCTCAGGGGTCTTTTATATCCTCTGCCATGTGCATGGAATTTTACCATCTCAAACAAAGCTCACAGCCTCTGTTTGTGGAAAGTAACTGACCCAAGATGGAGTCCAGGCTCACATGAGCGTATCACATGTCCTTGCATGCTTTGATGACTAGTAGGGGCAGCCATTACCCATATTCTTGCTGAGGCATCCACAGGAAGGCTTACTAGGTGGGATGAGTTTTTTCTATGGCCCATTATTACAGTGAAGTATCCTTAATGGGCCATCAACACATAGCTGTCTATGCAAGCCTCCTTCAAAGAGGATTGCATCCTGCTCTTCAGGATGGAGGCTCCAACAACCTCCACCAATTCTGGACCCTACACTTCTCCACTGGCCTTCATCAGACCACGGTGCAAGGCAGTCTGAAGGTCTAACCTCTCCTAATTTCCCCCACACCAAAGTGAATAAAAACACAAGCTGAACCCTAGAAGAAGTGACTCCTGTCCCATCTACATGCTGCTCTGCCCCCACTAACATGATGGGTTGGTACCCAATACCAATAGTTTTCTGTGCTGAATGCCAAGACACATTAAGAGGAGCTAGAGCTGCCAGCGCAGCCTAGATGGTGCAGAGCAAATGAGCCCAGTCAATGGTGGCATATGAGGCACATATTACACAATATTTCTATCCCTAACAAATGTATAATTTAATAGCTATTGCAAGCTTACCCTTTAAGAAGCAGCAGACCAACCCAGGAGCTGGAGCCATCACTGACTGTTGGCTCCTCCTGCAGCTACGCAGGGTCCGCCCCACGGGGCAGGGCAGGAGCAGCACAGGGCGCAGCCCCCCCCTCAGTCTGAGTTTAACTGCTGCAATCCTCTCCTGAGACCTCCCTGCGGTTAGCACAGCACCACCCTTACGAAGTGGCTGAAGGCCGAGGGTGTGGTAAGTTGCCATGGTAACAAACCAGTTTTGTGAGGCACGCGCTTAGCCCTACCCCGGCACGAGCCTCACCCAGCGCGACCATCTGCCAACTTTCTGGCCTTGCAGTTCCCTAGGGGTGCCCAGAGCTGTGACACTTACATCCAACCACAGTCTGCCCTTACATCCGGCTCGGTGTGTCACTTCAATAACAGCGCATCTGCACAGCGCTCTCGGTAGCTTTGGGGCCCTCGGGCTCGGCTGTGCCTAGCGCCCGGGCTCAGGGGCCGCCCCGAGGGGAGCCCCCTTCCTCCCCGCTCCCCGAGCCCAAGCCACGGAACCCAACCGGGGCAGCTTCCCCGCGGCCTCCCGCTCCCACCCCGATCCACGCGGCAGCGGGTTTCAGGAAGCAGATTTATGACACAATCGCTCCCCTGGTGACGGCGGCACCGTTACCCTGCTCCGGGCGGAGCCGGAGAGACACACACGGGGACTGGGCATTGCGGCCAGCAACGGCGACGAAACGCTTCAGCTGCGCGCGCCCCTCCCCCGCGTGCGCCCCTCCCGGCACCTGCCTCGAGCAAGCCCCCCGGCTCCTCCCCCCTGCGGTGACAACGGCTACCGGCCCCGCGGTGACGTCAGCCGGTGCCTGGCAGAGGGAGCCGCTGTGCGCGCGGAGCCCACCCCCGCCTCCCCCCGGGGCGCCGCGCCCTCGCCCCGCCCCCTCCCAGCTCGCACCCAGCAACCGCCACCGAGACATGGCGAGTGCGGGGTCGCCGCGGCAGCAGCAGGGCGCAGAGGCGGGCGGCGGCTGGGAGGTCCCCGGGGCTCGGAGCGCGGCGGCTGGGAGGCTCCAGCAGCAGCCGCCGGTGCCAGCGGCCGGAGATGAAGAGCCGGAGCAGGTGTCAGGCGGGGCCGCGTCCGCACTGCTCGGGGAGACCGGGCTGGCGCTGGGCGGCTGCATCGCGGCTGCTCTGAGCTGGGAGAGGCCGCTCCGCAGCCTGGGCGGGTTCGTCTGCGCCAACCTGCTGTTCTGGTGAGAGAACCTGGGGGCGATGCCCCGCCCGGCCCCGGGAGAGACCGACCCCCCCCCCCCCGCCTCGGAAAGAGCTGCTCCCCCTCTGCAAACCTAGACCGCACCGCGCTCCCCTGCAGACCTTCCCCGGGAGCAGAGCCTGTGCCCGGTGCACCCTGTTTTCCGTTCTCTATGGGAGAGACCCCCGTCCCCTATCTCGATTAGGGTAGAGATACCCCCATGCACCTCCTCCCCTTATTCTCCCCCCACCCCATGAGGACAGTCTGCCCCCTTTCCATTCCTCTCCCCAATACACCTTATTCCCTCCCCCTTCCCACGCGGGAGACCCACCCCACTCTGCCCCTCCTGCCCTTGGGAGAGACCCCAGCCTTTCCTTAATATCGCCATGATATCCAAGAGAGATTCCTCAGCACTTTATTCCCTTCCTTTCTGTCCAACATCCAGAGCTGAATAGAGTACAATGTTTCCTCCCTGCTTTTGTTTTCATCATTTTTTCCTTTCCCTTCCCTTCCCAACAAATCCATGTCATGGGGATTAGACTCACCCAGGCACCAAATCTCATCTTCTGGGTTTGAGATAAAGGGGGCACATGAATTCCAACACATTTTGGGGTGGGGAGTGAAGCTCATGAAATTAGACCCCAATCGGGAAATGAGCTCTGCACTGATAAAGTGGTCCACTGATGTGGAGTTGATAGCAAGGGGAGTGAGGCCATAGGCATAAAGTTAAGCATGTGTGTGTGTTGCAGAATCAGTAGCCTTACTTAAAAGCCTATTGCAGAATAAGGGCTTTCTGTATTTTGTGTCTTGTGCAGCAGCAAGCATATTGTCTGTGCTTGACTCAGTCTTTTCTAGTTGGTTTAGGTCAACTTTGTGTATAAACAAAGAAGATTTATAATTGAAATAGGCATGTTTGCATTGTGTTGCAAAACCACCCCACATGCTCTACCCCCAAATCTTCATAATTTAACTAATTTATTCCCATAGGAATATTCTACACTTTTCTACTCGTGTTTCAATTCTTCTTTGATCCGTGGTTGCACCAGTGCATAAAAAAATCCCCACATCTATCACCATATCTTACATGTATTCTGTGTTCATACATCCAGCATCGTATATATACATATATTTCAAGGCTGAATCTTTTAATACAAGTGAGAATAGGGCACCAAATTATGTTTTCTCCCATAGGATCATCCTCTTTCCTCCTCAGTAAGGCATGTAAGAGACAAAGCAAAAAAACAGGTGGATTATTGACAACTGCATTCAGTGCTGTATGACCTTGGAAATGTTCATTTTTTAAATAGTATGCAGACCAAATCATAAGGAAAGAACTTGAGTATTTTCTTAAGCATCACACTACACAGGAAAATATTCTGTTGAATACAAAAATATAGGCCTGTGCTTGTTAATTAACGGGAATGTGGTGTCATTTGCTAATTTGAAAGGAGAGAAATGTTCTAGTGCCAAGGCTAGACTAAAGGGTTCTTTCCTGTCTTACGAGATAGGTGATACATAACTCATTTGAAGCCCAAACACTCCCAATTCATAACATACATTACTATACTTGCTATAGCAGGTAAGTCTCTTGCATTAAGAAAATAATTCTAAAGTTGTGCCATCATTTTCTAGATCTGTCAGATCCAGTTTCTGCAACAATGGTTGCTTACAATCTGGAAGGGCCATAATGCCTTGTTGACCTGTTTTTAACCAAGCTGTGTAATAAAATGATGAAGGGTAGTATTGGTAATAGCACTAAAGCTGGTTAGGTTATAAGATAATTATATTAAATTCTGCATTTCAGGTAGAGATGGTTGCATTTGTTTAGAGCATCACAGGGCTTCCCATTTGTCATTGAGTTTGAGCATAACTGAGCATAAGGAATAGTCAGTTAGGATAAGGACATTTGATCTGACCAGATCTGGGTTGAACCTGTAGATTTGTAGATGGGTGCAACCATTGTTACCTCTGCTCCTTTAATTAAAAAATGTTTGTTTGTTTTTTCTGTTGTACTCATGTATACTGTTGGTTTTGATGGTCTTATTGGCAGCTTGCATTCTACTGTATGGCTACTGATATTTAAGTGAAATGGTTCTGTCAGAATTTCTAGTTCATGCTACATTCCTAGTGCCAGAGAGAGCCAGGATGAAGAAAACCTGGCTTTCACTGCAGTTCAGTGCTTCTTGGAGCTTCATCCATTTTATTGTGCAGGGGGAATTGAGGGGTGGGGGTAAACTAGGAAAGATTCAGGGGTGTGAATGATAGCCAGTAGAACTATGCAATCCATGGTTAAAGTAGATTGGAACAGGAGGGGGATCTCTCACTGCATCAGCCAAAGGGGTGAGTGGGAAATCCGTTGCCACAACAGCCCAGATGGGGGTGGAGAGGAAGCTGTGGGGAAGCAATCAGGGAGAATAGTCGGAGCGCTCTGTTTAATTCTAGCAGACAATGCTGTGCTTCCCCCACCCGCCCCTCACCTCTGTATGTCATCACACATTTTATATCTGGGTGGAAGGAGTGTGCAGGCAGAGATTGGAAGCAATTGCAGCTCAACTACCATTCTGTTGCCTACGGGTATAATCCCCACTCCCATTCTTGACCGTATTTTCACAGGGGGTTATTATGTTCACTCTAACTTTGTACAGGGGAGAAGATTTTAGTATGTACTGTTTAGATTGTGGCCTTCTTTTTGTAAACTCTTTGTAGTTTGACCCATTCTTATCTCTATTTTTTATAACCCAATTTTTTGGCGGTGCGGGCTAAGGGACATGCTGGCTGCCGCTTCCAGCAGCTCCCATTGGCCTGGAGCAGTGAACCATGGCCAGTGGGAGCCGCGATCGGCCGGACCTGCGGACGCGGCAGATAAACAAACCAGCCCGGCCCGCCAGGGGCTTTCCTTAAACAAGCGGCGTCCCAAGTTTGGGAAACACTGCTGTAGATGAATAAAAATGATGTAAATATCTTTTAATGGGTTTAAATGAGTATTGGACGGTGAGACACTTTATTCTTTTACTTCTCTGAATTTTCTTAAACCAATTAGTTTATATAATACCGCTATAGTATATTATCCATTCATTGTGTTTTGTTTCCAATTTTTTTATCCATGCATATACAGTAGCGTAATTTACAAGTGTAAATGGACTTACATTGTTACATTCAAAAGTTGCTGCTGTTTAGAAACACTGCTCACACAGGCTAAAAATTGTTTGTGGCACAGTTAATTTTGCCTCTGCAAATATGCATACTTTTGTTATACATTTTACGGGGGAAGGAATGATTCTGTATATATGTGTGGATATATTGTATTTATTTATTTGTGTGTGTGTGTAAAATGCATCATATTGCTGCAATTATGGCTTACGTTACCTAGAGACATGACAGATAAGGATTTATATGGCTTACAGTCCGCTGTGGGATAAAGTGATCTGCCTCAATGTGACTTTGTGTACTACTCAGAGTGAGCAAGAGTCCATGAAAGTTGTTGACAGTAACACTACATTAAACATTAATTGACATGAGGAAGTATATCTGCATTTACACAGCTTCTATATTGGACAGGGTGGAGGGTGGGTGAGCTGGCTAGACTTCTCAAGAAAAAACAAGTGTAATCTTCTTCTTTGTTTTTTTGTGCTTTGATTTTTTTTTTTTGGTCATTATGTGAAGCCTCTTTGCTCATCTCCTGAAAGAGTACAGTGACAGAAATATCGGAAGAGGAAGCAGCAATTCATCATCCATCCGAAGTGTCTGTATGCATGGAGACTATGCTAAGAAAGTTTTTCCACCTGATACCATGAAATCAAACTTACTCCTGGGGGAATTCTGCACCACTTCGCATGTGCAGAATTCATGTCCCCCATAGAAAAAACAGCTGGAGAGGTGCTACAGTTATACCTTTCGCTCACCAGGGGCTGCTATGGCACCAGGACAGAGGGCAGCCGGCTCACAGGCTGGCTCAGCCGGCTGAAGAGCAGGAGGTGGCAGTGTCTGTGTTCCTCACAGCACCCTGCCTGCAGGGCCAGGTGAGGAAGCACAGGATATGGAGGGACAGACAGAACGGGGCACACAGAGCTGCTGGGGGCTCACATAGACTGGGGTTCAAAAGTGCTCTGGGGGACAGACTGGAGCAGGGGCACAGGAGCTAGTGGGGTGACAGCATTGAGCCAGGAGCTGAGTGGGGGTGCAGGGACACATGGGGAGGAGTGTGGCTGAGTGGGAGTGCAGGACAACCTGGGGATGGGGGGGAGGGGTTCAGGGCCACATGGAGAGGAGGGTCCAGGCTCCTTCCCAGCAATTGCTTCTCTCTCCCTCAGCTCCTCCATTACCCCACTCATCCAAACCTCTGCATTGCTTATGAGGGGTGTGGGAATACATTTCTGTATTGCGGTTTAAATGACTTATTACTCAAAGTTCTGTATTAATATGCCTAGTAAGGAATCTATTTGTCAAAAAACATTTCCTGAACCTTTTTTGTTGTCTGTATTGTTACAGACATACTTGCTGACAGGTATTTTGAAATAAATTACCAAAATAATTAAAACTGACATGATTGTGTTATTTTGACAAATAAAATATGCAGAATTTTACAAAATTTTTAATTTTTTTGGTGCAGAATTCCCCAAGGAGTACAAATTGTAAGAAACACATATAAAATGCTGAAAGAAATAGCATATATGTCAGGGGAGGGAAAACTACGGCCCGCGGGCAGGATCAGGCCCATCAAAGCTTTCAACCCGGCTCACGGGATTGCCAGCCCCGTGGCGCAGCAGGGCTAAGGCAGGCTCCCTGCCTGCCCTGGCCCCGCGCCACTCCCGGAAGCGGGGATGGGGGAAAGCAGGGGAGGCAGAGGGCTCTGTGCACTGTCCTCGCCTGCAGGCACTGCCCCCTACAGCTCCCATTGGCCGGGAATGGGGAGCCGCGGCCAATGGGAGCTTCATGGGTGGTACCTGCAGGCGAGAGCAGCAGGCGGCAGAGCCACCTTCCCCACCCCACCCCCAGGAGCCA